AACCGTATGTATCAAATATGATACATTTGGCATTACAGGGTTAAAACAAAACAATATTTAATTCAAAGCCAAAAAAAGGACACGGTTTGTCATCTTCCCAACACCAGATTGCAATTCTGCAGGATCTCATTTCATTATCCTAAGAAATATTTAAGCGAACAGCTAATATCACCATACAGGTTGTGTGGGAACTTCTAGAAAATAATATGATGTAAAAGCTCTCCGGTAGCTGTTATCAAATTCCAGATGAACCTCCTCAGCCAGCACAAACAGAGCATATAGATGATAGATTTATGTTTATATAAAGCATACGATACAATGACTGATCTCTGAACAAGACCTGCTGACACCTACTGACCCGGCAGTAAATTATAACAGCCTGATCTGTGTTAAAATCATCTGTTAGAAGGAAGCTTTTACTAAAGGTTTAAGGTTGATCCTCCCGGTCCAGGGAGGGCTTTTTTTTTTTAACTAACTAGAGTCTGATTTTAAATCTACATTTGTCTTAATTTAGCTAAAATATTATTTCCCAGGGCAAAATAATAATAGAAAAATAAAACTGAGCACAATTGATTTCCTGGAACAAACCCAGCATTTTGGGTCTGGAATGTTTATCAGAGTTGAGATCAAGACTTTGGAGAGGTTATCTTAGAAGTGCGTATATTAGCTTACAAAGTAAATAGAAAGTTTAATACATATATTTTTTATCACAGCACTGTTGGAAAATCTATAATCCCAAAGCATTTTTTGATTCAAGATGCAGGCTTAAAATCTTTATGCACATCAGTAATACTCTAGAGATTCCCAACGATGAGTTGACAATTTCAGCACCCCAGGAGGTTGGGATTATGGATGCAAATAATCATAGAAATAACAATAAAAGACTTTAGGATTTAAAATGTAAAGCTGTCCTAGTTTGACTGTTCTAGATTTTATTATGAATGTACCATTTATTTAGTGGTACATAGACTATTTCAGGTGAGAAGTTTTAAAACTGATTCTGCACAAATCAGCCTACAACAGAGTTATTTCCATTTGACCCAACAGTTAAAAATTTTTTACACAAGCGGAAAACCTAAACGCAGAAAACGTATATTTAATCAAACTTCTCTGTTTCCGGTCCAGAGGTAAATGGGAAGCCGAATCTGCTGATTTCTTTTGAATGTCTTTAATGGTACTTTTGAACTCATACATTCACTGAGAAGTGCTGGTAAACACAACACGACTAAAAAAAGAATCACTGGCGGTTTTCTCATCAGTTTCCTGAAATTTTTCCTACACGCAACCTTAAGGAATATAAAATTTCTCAGATATGGATAACTGATCTCATTATCATTTATAGGGCTGTAAATGAGACACATATTTAAATAAAGCAACCCCCCCAAAAAAATGGTACAGTCCTATTAGAATGCAGCACTTGACAGTTTTGTGATGAACTAAGTTTGCAACACAATTGTCAAAACAAAGCAGAAGGTAGTTTAACGACTCAAAATGTAGCCCGTTCTGCACTGAAATATTAAACTGAAATGTAAACATCGTAGATACAGGAGAAAAAATGGACTGAAGTCTTAATCCAGCTGCCTGCAGCATGCAACCTCTGCAAAATGTAGCGTAGCATGTTGGTCCCAGGGAGAATTTTTCCCAATAGATGCCCTTTTTTATGGTGCTTTAAGCTTCATCTTGTCTTCATATGAAAACAACTACC